CTATGAGAAGAAAATAAAAAATTTTTATTTCTTGCTATTTTTCGGTAAAATTGATAGAATTCGAGTAAAAAATGATTGAAACCAATAATTTTGTAGATATTTCCGTAAATATCTTAGAAAATAGAGGTGGTATAAAAATTTTTCCTAACAAAAGTTGTTTGCTTTTTTACGTAGAATAAAATTCCGTAATAAAAAATATATGTTTCTATTTAAAAAAACAAAGTTGACCTCGACCTGACCTTAGGTGGCGGCGCCACCCAAGGTCAAAACTAATACGGCCATTAAATAGATCTTCTGAAATTCTATAACTTTTGTCTGAAACATTTTCCTAAAAAATGCTTTTTTTCGAGATATTCGAGTGTTTCCACAATTTTGCTTCACCTTGTATATCATGCGCTTCGAGAATCAAACTTTGAACAATACAGGAAGATACAATTTTTCCTTTTTTTGTTCTTTCTTTCTTCTCTTTCAGTTCGTTCATGTACTCTTCGACTCACGGAATGCTTTCTTACGCGATGACAAACCTGATTAATCATCTCATTGTCCGGGAAGACATTTATCGTCATCGGCGATGGACTTTTCGCAATTTCATCCGCTCGTAATCTCTCGCTTTCCCGCCAAACATATTCGATGTGCGGTATGTCGTATCGTGCCGCAGTGCTCGCGACTATTCCACGAGTGTGCGGACTCGCGGGTCCAAAAATAGCTGCCACACCTTCCTCAAGCAACTCGCAAACTGTATGGAAGACATCGTAATCACGAACAAGCACATGGAAGCAGATCAATAACTATGTCGCCAAGTAAAAAGATATCTTTTTACACGTGCAACTAGCGCGCGAAGAAACCAGGCAAGAAAAAAGATCGACATGGCAATTTAATGGAACAGCAGCAATAATTGACACTCGTTATTATGAGCTGATATTCACCAGCAATGGCGGTTTTGAAACTGTCGGTATCCGCGTCTACGTGCTTGAGGACTGGCACGAGTTCGAAAGCCGGTGCGAGATGTTCGTATTTTGTCTCGAAGATCGCTCTTAAAAACGTGGAGTTGTAATCTTCATCGCCTTTGTGAAAAATTGCACCTGCGAATTCGAGAAAATTCATGAACGCGCAAACAACGTGGAGCGCTGATCAATTAATCGCTACATTAATCGTTACAAGCAGTTCGAATTCAGAGAAAATTCAATTGCTTAGTACAATACAACGCCATATTTCATTCTTTCTTGCTTACCGATTTTAATCGGTCGCGCTATGCTATGGCTGCGTGATGCCAGAGTAAACAAAGCCAAGGCAGTTAAAAAGAAACTGCGTTTCCGACTCATCATAAATAATATCCTGAAAAGACAATATGTATCCTGTTGACCCAACTTTTGCAAGGAACAACGTATCCTTAGGGCTATTCGCCATATTGGATCATCAGAAGCGAAAGAGAAACGATATGCTGAAAATATTCTTGCGTGCTATATATATCCAAATAAAAAACTTTCTATAAAATAACATTGCTTAAGCCTGTTTATCCCTTTCCCTTGACAGTCGATAAAAAAAATCACAAACGAAAAAAGATAAGTTGAAGGTTGTGTCACGTTAATTTCACGGTTGTTTTTATTCACTGTCAAGGAGAAACGCTAGGTCTCGGAACGCATTTTACAAGTACGTTTAAGTGAGATCAGAGAAATATCCTTCCAAATATCTCTTTATTTAAATTGGAAATGGCTCGCACGAATTTCAGATTTTTGGACAGGTACGTTATCTCGCTTCTAACGTCATGAATCCAGAATTAAATGTTTATTTAAATATAATGATTATCCTTTACTTGACAGTAGTTTATGAAAAAAAAAACCTCAATGCCATTTCCTTATGCCTATAGCTATGTATTTAAACACATATAACTTGTCACTTTGTAAAAAGCTATATAAAATATAAATCGATCTACAGGCAAAAGCCAAAAATAATTATAACAACGATATATCTCTAGAGATTTCCGTAAAACTATTCATTATAATTGTGACAGAGCTCTACCAGCTTAAGGAATCAATATATTGTGCACACATTCACGTTTTCCAACCATACCACCAGTCTCACCTCTTTCCTTCCTACGAGTTAACATTCGTATCTTTTCATCGTCCTGACAGGCACTTTAAAAACGAACAAGAAAACAATTCCTTATTGAACGAAAAATTAATCAAACAACACGTAATCACAGGAAAAATTGACGGAACTGCTTCGCGTTCGGATTTGGCCTTTGAAGTGTCCTAGTCACGCACCGATTTAAAATTAGAACAGATCATCCTAAATATGTAGAGCTCGACGCCTGATGGAGATGACGAACGCGGCCGCCGGTTTGTGTTGATGCTTAGTGAATTCGAACAGCTGCGTGTAGCAGCCACAGATATCTATACTAAACTAGTAGTCTGTTCTTTTCAGCTGTACAGTCGCGGACTTAAAGGTTGGTAGGTCGTTTTTAGCAAATTTAGGAACGCATTCCGATTTGAGAAGGAGAGTCGCTGCTTCGTCTGCGGGGCACGCCTGCGCAGTGACTAACTACGATAGGAGAGAAATGACATATACGTAGTGTCATAAAAGTAAGCACGACGTTCGCGTGGGAAGTGTTCCGCAGGATTCGCCGTGACCGAGCATCGTGGATTACATGCAAATATAAAGATAAATAATAGATTTCATTATTCCCACATTCTGCTTGTGATATTTATTTCCTTCTGCGAAACAAATATGACAGATATTAAATTTCCTACATATATAACAATATTATATTACAAACATAATTTATATATTTTTTTGTAATGAAATCTATTATTTATCTTTATATTTGCATGTAATCCACGATGCTCGGTCACGGCGAGTCCTGCGGAACACTTCCCACGCGAACGTCGTGCTTACTTTTATGACATTACGTATATGTCATTTCTCCCCTATCGTGGTTAATCACTGAGTAATGGCGTTGGGGCATGAGTCACGGATGCGCCTCTAGCCAAATATTGAAGGAAGGAAGGAAGGTGGTTAATCACTGCGCAGACGTGCCCCGTAGACGGAGCAGCGACTCTCCTTCTCAAGTCGGAATGCGTTCCTAAATTTGCTAAAAACGATCCACCAACCTTTAAGGGCTATCGCACACAATTGACATAACTGCATATGCATAGCATAAGATCGTATGGACCAATGAGCATCGAATATTAAGCATCGAACTCCAATATGGCGACTTAATACTCGATGCTCATTGGTACATACGGTCTTATGCTATACATATGCAGTTATGTCAATTTGTGTGCGATAGCCCTAAGTCCACGACTGTACGTCATTGATCTGGTTTAGTATAGATATCTGTGGCTGAATGCAGCTATGGTCGGCCGCCGCACTTGTCATAGTATTAGGACTACTGCGTAGTGCTGCTGAATGCTACGCAGTGTTTTGAACGCGAGATATTGGTGAGGTTAAGGACATGCGACTCGTTGATTATTCTCGCAAAAATATCTTGAATAAACGATGATCAAAATGCTTCGGTCGACGCGGTGCTTGATCTTTGCGCCGCATCGCGTAAAGCATCATCGTTCTTTGCACACTTGCGGCCAGCAGCTATCGGAAGTCGTCGGGCAAAGATGTGAGTTTCGATTAATTGCTTGTAATGTTATTGCATCAGTAATTGTGAATACATCTCACAGCTGCCATCAGTGACGAGTACAAGAAGGGTCCGATGGAAGGTAGATCGCTTTATTTGGATGCCCAGGCCACTACTCCGTTGGTAAGTCGAAAGATATGATGCTACATGATGCAATAGATGCGATATCGGCGATTGTTATGCAGGATCCCCGAGTATTGGACAAGATGATGCCGTACCTAACGGTATACCACGGTAATCCACACTCCAGAACTCATATGTACGGCTGGGAGACAGAGACGGCGGTTGAGCAAGCTCGCAAAGTCAGTATTTTCGTTGTTTTTCATTTGTAGATGTATAGAGATTACAATAATTGTGCCTTCCTCAACAGCAAGTAGCGGATCTGATAGGAGCCGAACAAAAGGAAATAATATTTACATCAGGCGCAACAGAATGCAACAATATAGCTGTGAAAGGTGTAGCAAGGTTCTACAAATCAAAGAAGAATCATATTGTGACAACCCAGACGGTATGAAAAGAATTGCTGATTTCTCTGAATAAATACAATGAATCTCAAGTTGTATCTTGTTGTCATATCTAGGAACATAAATGCGTATTAGATTCGTGTAGAGCCTTGGAAGCAGAAGGATTTGATGTAACGTACATCTCTGTCAAGTCAAACGGCCTTATTGATCTAGATGAATTGGAAGCAGCTATCAGACCATCCACATCATTAGTCTCGGTAATGACAGTAAATAATGAGATTGGTGTTAGGCAGCCTATTGAAGAAATTGGTACCATTTGCAGGTAAGAACCGAGACTCAACACCCCATGATTATTCTTTTTGCATTTTCCACTTGAATTTCCTAGAAAAAGGAATGTCTTCTTCCACACGGATGCAGCCCAGGCGATAGGCAAGATACCAGTCGATGTTAATGCCATGAACATTGATCTCATGTCGATTAGTGGTCACAAATTATATGGTCCGAAAGGTATTATCATGCTTTACTGTTACAAATAGCTCGCGAGTGGTCGCGTCGTACAATCATCATCTGGTAAGTTCTCTTTCTTTGGGTTTACGAAGGAATTGGGGCTCTCTACGTTAGAAGAAGACCACGAGTGCGTGTAGAGCCATTACAAAGTGGTGGTGGACAAGAAAGGGGGATGAGAAGCGGTACTGTGCCGGCGCCTCTAGCTGTGGGTCTCGGCGCCGCTTGTGAGCTGGCGCGGATCGAGATGGATGTAAATATAATAATATAAGAGGAACAAGATTATATTTGTCGCCTCGGAGCCAAAGTTTACACGGTAAAATATATTTTTGCAGTACGATCACAGATATATCAGCGCGCTAGCGAATCACCTGATCGAGAAGATAACGTCCAACTTGTCGCAAGTTGTACGCAACGGCGACCCCGTCGCCTGGTATCCTGGTTGTGTAAATTTATCGTTCGCGTGTGTCGAGGGCGAATCGTTGCTGATGGCGCTGAAAGAAATAGCGTTGAGCAGTGGTTCGGCTTGCACCAGCGCGAGTTTGGAGCCTAGCTATGTGTTGAGAGCGATTGGCGCTTCGGAAGATTTAGCTCATTCCAGTATCAGGTAAGTATGCTTCAGAGACTCAATATCGAAACATTTTTATCAATCATCGTTCAACTATAGGTTTGGCATCGGACGGTTTACGACACTCGAAGAAGTCGATTACACCGCGGATAACACGATACGGCAAGTGAAACGACTACGGGACATGAGGTACGTTTATGGGTGATGTTCATTGATCATTGTTGTACAAACGTTTATTTCAAGTTGTCGAGGATATCAAGGACAAAAACGATCTACTCTAGACTTACATATGCATTATATACTTTGGCTTGAAAACTTGTGTAATCTCGTCTTGTAGGGATATCGAGATCGTTGGACGTTTCTCTATTAGTTACGCTATGCATATATCTATCGGTGACAATTGTTCGATGACGCAAATAGAACGCCGAAATCTTCATCTTTGATCTGATTCGCTTCATCTCTTACAGCCCGTTGTGGGAGATGGTGGAAGATGGCATCGACTTGAAGACTATCAAATGGACTCAACACTAGTGCCTCGTTACGCGGTGTAGCTGTATTACAATCATAGCTGTATATAAAAAATATATATATATATATATATATATATAT